GGGATCAGTCCTTCAAAACTTGATGACAGAATCTTTGAAATAAATATCCACGCTGAGCCTTGATGGAAACAGCAAGATATAATTCCATCCATTTTCGATAGCACTTGTCCTCTTCAAGATTGTTACAGTTCACGAACAACACTGAAATAACAGCTAAAATCAAAATTTAACAACAATGTAACCTAACCAAACTACATTTTTCCAGTAATTTTTTTTAACAGCGATACAAGTAAACTTCATTTTTATTTTTTGCTTGAATATTCCAAATCAGTCATCATTTTTTTGTCTAGCACATCAGGTTGCATAATAAAATGTGATGCAGTAATATTTATAAATTAAGGGTTTGGTTCAGCAACAGGAGGAATTGTTTTATTTTTTTTATGAAACTTTGGAGCTACACCTAGAATGGAGGGGGTTTCTCATGTTCGCAAATGATGTGGACACGGAGAAAATGAGAGCTGTCAAGGTGAAGGAATTACCGTAATTTCCGCACTACAGGGCGCACCAAAAAGTCTTCATTTTCTTAAAAGCTCACCGAGCGCCTTAAAATCCGGTGCGTCTTTTGTATGGTCATTACGGTAATACGTCGATTCCAAGATGGCTCCTTCCTGGAGACATGCTACCAATGTTATAACTTGCTGTTGGTTCGGTGAAGTGAACTGTGTCGCTGCTTCATTGAATAAGTTTGTGTTGCAGCTCCGAAAAAAAGGAGAGCTGTGGTGATATTTTTTTAAAACAGTCTCAACAAATACAGGTCCGTCTTTGTCTGTCTCCGTGCTTTCTTCCGTTCGACTCGAGAGGCGTTCACGACCGCCACCTAAATAACGTAAACTATTACTTCAATGAAACTACAACAATTGAAAATACATCAAAACTGAAAAGCAAGCGAGGATATCACAAAATGAATTATGTAGCCCCCCCCTACAGAATTTCTATTGTGATTTCAACATTTGTGAATACACATCAAAGGAATAAATAACTACCACTGACATCTTGTATTATTTTGACTTTAAGAAGGCGCAGCGAGAGTGGCTGCCTTTCCAGCAGCTCCCATTTATTTTGTTGTTCTTCTTCTTCCTCTCATAATTTTGCTGCTGTGCAGTGAGAATTTCTCCATTGTAAGACTATTCAAGGTTTTCCTATTTTATCTTGTCTGATCGTACTCTTGGAGCTTCGATAAAGGAAATGAGAATGTGTTTTTCTGGGGCGGTCTTGAACGCCTCTCGAGTTGACCGGAAGAAAAGAAGGGAAGGAGACGGACAAAAACGCACCTGTATTTGTTGAAAAAATGAGAGCTGTGGTTGTGGTTTTATTTTTTTAAAGCGCAGACTTTATTAAAGGTTTTGACAGTCTGAACAAATACAGGTATTGTACGTAATTGTTCATCTCCGTGCCTTCTCCTCCGTTCCAGTCGAGAGGCGTTCATCGCCGCCTCCGAATTAGGTCAATGAATTCTTACTTCAATGAAACCACGAAGAAAATCAAGCGAGGAACTCACAAAATAAATTCTGTAGGGGCGATATAAAATTTATTTTGTAATTTCCTCGCTTGATTTTTCTTTTTTGATGCATTATTTTCAATTTTCGTAGTTTCATTTAAGGACAGTAATACTAAATTGATATTTTTCAGAGGCGGTCATGAACGCCTCTCAAGTTGAACGGACGCCTGTCGAGTTGAATGGAAGGAGCGTACCACCATCTAGTGGACACATTGTAGATTGCGCCTTTTAGTCCAGAGCGTCTAATAATTAGACGTCTAATAATTAGACGCTCTGGACTAATACATCAGTTTTGATGTATTTTCAATTGTTGTAGTTTCATTGAAGTAATAGTTTACATTATTTAGGTGGCGGTCGTGAACGCCTCTCGAGTCGAACGGAAGAAAGCACGGAGACAGACAAAGACGGACCTGTATTTGTTGAGACTGTTTTAAAAAAATATCACCACAGCTCTCCTTTTTTTCGGAGCTGCAACACAAACTTATTCAATGAAGCAGCGACACAGTTCACTTCACCGAACACATAGCAACAAATTACATCGCATGGTAAAATCCATATTGCTCAAGCTTTCATAGGGTAAACTTAAAAGCCAAAAATAAATATAAAAAAAAATGACATGGGGGGAGACCTTTTTGAAATAGTGTCAACAATACCTTTTGGAACACAAAGCCATCCGTGATAAATTTGCATTTGACCACTAATTTTAGGAAAAAATGTCACGCACAATCCAAAACGCTTTAGAGGACAATGATTCTCAAAAGCACTGCTTTCCTAATCGCTCTTTTTTGGAACTATCCGGCTCCTACCTGAAGAAATTCTTGGGTTTGGATTTGGATGCCTTGATTGACATCGAAAAACGTTGTGAAGAGGCCCACGCCAACTGCAAGCCCTTTGAGAAAGAGAAGTCGTTACATCAGCCGATTGGATAGAAACAGCTGGTCACCATAGAGCGGGATTTTCACAGCACGGTTCAAGTGGCACTATTGAGAAATCTGGCATGGCAGCGCAAAAAAGAAGAAAAAAACGCACGGGGTCAGATATATTTAGACTTGAATCAGGCCTCTTCCCAGGGGCGTCACGAGGTTTCAAGAACAAGGGGGGCTTAGCCCCAAGGGGAACACGGCCCCTTTAGGGGGGTCCGGGGGCATGCCCCCCCCCCGGAGAAATTTTTTCTACATTCTATTAAAAATCCATCAATTCCGTGCACTCCATGTATTTTGAGATGTTTGCCGTGATTTTGGTCTTATATAAATAAAGTATCATTATTGAGTCAACACAGTACAGTTGAATCTAGTGGGCAATAAAATAATTAACCTACAGCTATCTAGAATAAATAAATTGCCTTTCCACTTTCAGGAAAATTGAATGCTTTAATACTGTCCAACAACAAATGGAAGATTCACACATTTATCACCAACAAAAATTATTAAAAAATATATAACAATGTGCCATTCTTCACAGTTAAAAATTCTTATACTAATAAAATAATAAAAAAAGTATTAAATGATTGTACCCAAGTAAAAGTAAAATACTTGTTGAAAAAATGACTTTGTAAAAGAAGTAGTCATTCAACTCAAACAAAATACTCAAAAACAAAATACTCAATTCGAGTACTTTTACACTTAGTTACTTTGCATCTCTGCCTATCTCCAAGACTGTCCATTCACTTGGTGGGTGGAAGCATCAAAGAAAGCCTTCTGTTTTTAAGAGTTGCAAATCGGTCAATCACTCTGTTGTGACTGATATGCTCAAGTGTGTTCTTTTCAATGGACATGACTGCAAGACTGTGAAGTCTTTTCTGACCCATTGTTTGACGCAGCCATGAGTGAAGCCGACGCAGTGCACGAAAGGACCTTTCACATGAGCAGCTACTTACAGGAACTGTTAAAGTGCAGTTTCTGCTGCTACTGGAGATATTTTCGCGGACTATAGTCACTAGTTTTACCAGCATGGATGAATTGAATACTTAATTTACCTTTGTAAAAAACTGTCGAATATCCATCCTGTCGACTCAACCTGACTTTCGGCAATGAACTGTCAGTTGTTGCGTTAGCATTTGATGTGGCACTGTCACCATCGCCACATCAAATGCTGACGCAACACCTGTTGCGTTAAGGAAACCTGGGAGATTTAACATGACAATAATGGCAGGTTATCGAAATATAATTGAAAATGGCCACATTACATTGAATTCGATGCAATATATTAGCAAAAGTAAAGGAAAAATAAATCATACTTTTTTAAAAATAATGCAATGAAATTATTTAGGGGGGCTAAAGACATTTCTCGGGAGGCTGAAGCCTCCCTAAAATAGGCCTCATGACGCCGATGACTGCAGCACAGGGACCAAGGAACCCACCATGACTCTATACCACTCCGAGGAGAATCCGTCCGGGCCTGGTGTCTTATTTGGTTTAAGATGTGATATGGCTGAGCGAATTTCTTTCTCTGCTATTTCAGCTATCAAATACCTGCTTTGTTCGCTGTTCAATTTAGGCAGATTAATGTTTTGGAAAAAATCTTCCATTTTGTCTGTACAAAATATAAGGTCACGAGACTGACAAAATAGAACATAAAACACTGATAACAGGATCATAACAATACCTACAAAAGCGCTTGCAAATGGCAAGGGAAACAAAAGAATGCGAAATAACTTCTCGAAAAAGGGCAAGGAAAAGCCAAAGAAAAACCAAAACACGCCGAAGACCACACAACAAAACAAGACTCAGTCAAAATGGAACAAACAAGGGGATATTGAACCAGACAATGAGCGAGATCGAGGAAGGTGGAGAAAACAAGCACTTCGATGAGAGTCGTGAGCAAGGTGAATAACCTGACAATTGGAAATAGCTTGGCTCTCCGTTTGAACCAGGCGATTATCATGACATTGCGTAACAGGTGTGGAGCGGGTGGAACAGCCCTCCTATACCACCTACTGGAGACAAACAGAACAGGACCATGACACTTCCCTCGAGTAAGACATCAAAATGTGAACCTCAAAACGCAAGATATGGGTCAAAATTGACTTTTGGAATAACTGTTTTCAAGGTGCGAAGGCTACTTTGAACTGGGACGTCCGAGTGACGAAGTCTCAGGGAAAAAAATGGACCCCACATTCACAGAGCGATTTCAGTGTGACGTCACTCCTCAGAAATCACCCCCACGTTGACACACGAGGTTTGTATAGGAACAAATACACATTCCTAAAATCAAATATTCCAGATTTTTATTTGTCGTGGCAACCAATTGAAAACAATCGTCGCGCCAGCTACAAGTGGCTCTTTCGACTTGTGAAGCTGAATACAGCGTTTTCACCACCACTGCACAGGGGACAATGACGTATTTAACCGAATTGTTAAATGGCACGGACAATACAAGATACGGAAAATCAAGTTGAGCAAAAACTCAGTGAATAGACAGAAATCCAAACACAATTAGATTTTACTTCATTCAGGAAGCACTGCGCAATGGAAAGATAGATATTGCATATTGTGAATCCATACATGGCAATTTTCCGCGGATCCGCGGAAATCCGCCGTTTTATTTCTTAAATTGATCATTTTTGTGAATCGTCTAAATCCGTTGAGAAAATTTTAGGGGCGGTCAGGTACCTTATCGTCGAGTTTTCACGAGCTCTCCCGAACAGTCTCTCCGTTTTCCGTTTGTAAACAGCCCTGCGATTGGACGTGTATGAAAGCTTCAACTAATCAGATCACTGAAGGCATTATTTGTTGCGGAAGTCTTAGCTCGATTATAAACGGCCCAGCGATTGGTTAACTACAAGCGATTGGACCAATCAAATTGCATGTAACATATTGTTTTACCTGATTCATGGCGGCCTGTTCGTCTCGCAAATTCATTGTTCTGGGATCGTTTTGAGCGGAATTATGAAAATTTTGACGAAAGATCAGGAGTCTTTAATCCTAGAAATTGACTCAAATGTCAAGAATAAATT